ACAAGCAAATTTGTGATGTTACATCTGGAAATCGTATTAGTACCATCTTTAATCTTATTGATGATGACAATCGGCAGCTCATTGCCATACCCATAAGAAATATTGTTAAAAAATGTATTTATATTAATATTCCACTACAGGGACAAAAAAAGTCATATGTCATAGCACTATCCAATAATTATGAGCTTCATTGATTTAACTTAATTCATTTCATTCTTTTTTTTCATAATGAATAAAATGTACAGTATAGCTATAAACAGACAAATAATTACCACTTACATTCAGTTTTTCTATTATAAACATGCCTTGTTATTCTTATAAGATCTTGTAAGATTTGTCATAATCTTATTTGACATCTTAACTGCTTGATAAGATTCTACAAGACAGATTTAATCTTACTTTGTCTTACAACATCTTGTAAGATCATACAGGTTCTTAGTAAGATTTATTTGCTGGGCCCGTACACACATGTTTAACACTAACTAATTATATCCCAAGTCCCTGAAATTCCTACTCATGACCAGTCCCCAATGGCAACAGCATGCCTCAGGCAGGCAGAGTGGTGAGAGTTGGGCCCGTTAAAATGTTTGAAACCCCACCTCCGGTTCTCAAGACCAGACTGCATCGCCTGTTAGTTACCATGAGCCCATGCAAAAAAGACGAAAGCATGTAGTGGATAGTCACGTGATTATGTTATAAAGTGTACATTGTACACACACTCGTGGTACACAAGGTGCTTCACAATGACATGGATTGACAAATACTACACACACACAAAAGACATTGGTAGTGAGTTGGTCGGGCTGTTCAGGTAGGCCAGTGGGGAAATATTGAGCAAACATCAGTATGGGGTACAGGCAGGCTTTATAGCTGGGCCTTTCTCGAGTAATTTACTAATGAGAGGCATTAACCTCGACATAACAACAATCTCTAGTCTGAGGTGTCAGTTTGCCTTACAGTTCATTAGTGATCTCAGTACTAACTCACTCAAAGATAAAGAGGTTGGATGTGCCTTTGATCTTTTCAAGACAATAAAGACATTGATCAGTAGAAGTAGTTTGGTTGATGTATCTAGCAAAGTGGATAATCTAAGATTGACTACTACACTGAGGATGTTCCAGATACATGTACCTCACTTTATTGTTAAAATGAACACACTCAAAGAAGTAATTGGACTAATTATAATTATTATAATTGACCATTAATTGTTACAAACATGTACAATGTATAACTAATCATTTATTCTTCTGTCCTCTCTCTCTCTTTTAAGGTTGTTAGGGTAACAGTGGAACCCTATTCTCCTCCTTGTTCTGGTCTAAAGGACCCAATACCAGTTGATAGAGTAAAGACCTGGCTCATTGAGGAGAATAAGGTCTTATCAATAGCATTTGGAGGTTTGTGTAATTAATGATTGTACATTCTCTGATTCATATTAATGTTAATAATAATTATGCTATGTAGAAAGTTTGAGCTGATTCCAACTATAATTTTGTAATTTTGTAATTTTGTGAGCCACATATCTTTAGCCCATGCTTTTTTCTAAAATTGGCTTTGACATCATCCCTATTTTGTTAATTGTTTGCATGCTGTACTTACTATGTACATGTACATGCATGCTATGAAGTACATGTACATGTAGTTTATTCCAATAATGTATTACAAGCCTCAGTACAAGTAACGAATATCGGACACTTTGAGATACATTGTACAGTATCTGGTGCATTTTTACTGAGATCGCCCTATTATTTATGGATATTATTAGGTAATTTTAATTGTGACTATTTTATTAAGTAAATATACTAATTAATGATTGAGCTAATTCAAATCAAAATTTGATTTTTTATGAATTTTAAAGTTGCTAAAACATCTGGCCAAAGTCCTTGTATAGTACTAGGTCACAGGCCAAATTTTGTCATTGAAATAAGAACTTTTTATCTTTTTCTGATATACACATGCATGTTCTCATGTAGCATAAAGAATTCGAGCTAATTTTAATCAAAATTCAATTTCATACAAATTTTTTAATTTGGCGTGCTCAAAAAGTGCAATAAAGCCTCTGTACTGTAGTTCAGGGTCACAAGGGGAATTTTGCCTCAATTAAGAAGGAGAGAATTCTCTAACTTCATAATTTTTTCTATTGTATGCATGTGCTGTACATGTGCTTATTTTGTGTAGAAACTTGGAGCTAATTTTGATCAAAATTGATTTTTTATGAATTTTTAAATTTTGCTCTAAAATCAGCTAAACAATCATGTACAGGATTGTATAAGATCACAAGCTAAATTTTTGCCAAAATTAAGGAGAGAAATCTCCAAATTTTTATTACATTTTATGATGAATTATACATGTACTTATGTTTTATAGAAAGTTTGATCAAATTTGGATTGTTCTAAAAATTTTTAAAGTTGCTCAAAAATTATTCCAAAGTTATACAGGGTCACCATGCAGTCAAGTTTTTGATACATGATATTAAATGTACTTACAATGTATGTTGTGTCAAAAGTTTGAGTAAATTCTGATCAAGAAACTGGTTTTTTTCTCTTTTCAAGGCTGTACAAGCAGGGAAGACAAAGTCACAAAGATAGCAATGTTTTATGAATGGGAGAAGACTCTGTAGTTGCTATGGCAAGTTCATGTAGGCTCTGATGAGGACTTTATTAATGGACAATAATTATTTCATTTTATTTATTATTATTGTTATTATTATTATTTTGTTGTTTTGGTCGTTGCATTTATTTTGTTTTTGAATAATATTTTCTTACAAATACAGCTTTATTCCACTACCTCCTTTTCTTGCTCACACTTTAATTCAAACCTTGAGGTGGTAACAAGGTATTGAAAACAACTACCAGTTAATGCTCTTTTAGCAGCTAATAGATTAACAACAATGATGCATAGAATGATTGTAGTATTGATGAGAAGTGAGTGATAGTCATTATATAGGACTGGTGGTGAATGCATACCATATCCTACATTGTCTGATACATTACACCAGATCCATTGATGAATACACAAGATAAAAGTATCAATCTTTTAATGTTACACTAGAAGTCATTACATTGTCTATTGTCTCACAAGTGGTCAAGTTAATGAGATTGATATGACTAATGGGTTGTTGAAGAAGGACCTCCTCCCAGGAGTGACCCTTTACACTCCTAGATACACCACATGTATACACATGGGTATAGTCGGTTTCAGTTGAGAAGAAACGGAAGTAAATCAATATTTTCGTCATTAAAACGTCACATGTAGCCCCGCCCGAACATGGCTGCAATCTGCAAGCTCTGTCATTCTTCGAGCGTTTCTTCTCTTTTAACTTACTTTACTATCTATTGTACCTCTACAGTGATTGCTGCTGCCTCCATCTATCTTTTTCTTGTTTTTGGTGCCTGTTTTAAGCTGGTATAGAGCTCGGAATACGGGTGAATCAACGAGTGTACTGGCAATGAAGAACAACTAAGATTGAGAAGGCTGTGGAGTGATATAGCAAGAATTATCCTCAAGAGAAAGCAACGAGTGTACTGGCAATGAAGAACAACTAAGATTGAGAAAGCTGTGGAGTGATATAGCAAGAATTATCCTCAAGAGAAAGCAACGAGTGTACTGGCAATGAAGAACACAACTAAGATTGAGAAGGCTGTGGAGTGATATAGCAAGAATTATCCTCAAGAGAAAGCTCCAGGTTGAATAGAGCGGTTTCATATGACGTCACAGCACGCGTCATAATTACTTCCGCATGGCAAAATGGCTACTTTGCCATTCATTTGTACAGCACTATAAACTCTTCTGGCAGGCTTCCTTAACTATGAGCATGGCTAATTCATGCTGCTCTTTCATTTTCCTGGACTCAGGGATGCAAAGGAAGCAAAAAGTCCTCAGATAGAGAACCAGTGACGCGGCCAAAGTGAACACAGGATTGCCTTGTTACTCCTGTTATTATTGCTATCGCTACTTTTCTGCTTACTACTGCTAGAATTGTACTCCTTTTCTGCCTTGTGCTGTGTAAAAGAAGTTATAGAAGAAGCAACTTTGCTGCTGTAAACGAATGAGGCTCATTAATTTTTGCCATACGGAAGTAATTATGACGTCAAAAAGTGACGTCACTGCAACCGCTCTATATTAGTAGGTCTAGAGAGCTTGATATGTTTTGTTTTATTTTTTAAATAAAAAAACATTATTTTTTGACTAAATGTAATGAGATGCAAATGATATTCATCGGAGTGACGCACACGATTCGTCATGGCAGCTCCTTTCATCTCAAGCGGAAGAACCCGTTTAGAACCTTCCAGAGTACCTAGAAACTCAAAAATTGGTAAGGATTTTCGGAAGAACCCGTTATGCAGCTATACCAAATTTCAATTTGCTAGCATTAGTGACAAAAAAGTTATAAGGGGTGGTGGTGGTTTCTTCTCAACTGAAACCGACTATAGATCAAATGATTAAAGTTGCTGCACTGCATGTATGTAATGGGGCAAACGCATGATTTGACTATTAGTAACAACAAGGATTATAATATTATATGTAAAAATTTTGACAAAATTTTATAATATTAAAAACCATTACATACATGTAAAGTAATAATAATGTTATTAATAACTCATGTCGAGTGGCATGCAGCTATAAAAAGATAATAATATTAAGTTAAAATTTTATTTAGTTTGCAGGAGAAAATTGTCTAGTTTATTCTTTGCTTTACCAAGCTGCTCTGGAAAATCCTCACACACTTCAATTAGTTTATCCCAGTTAACATCTTCACCTGAATCCATCCACCTCTGGAAGACAAGGCGTAGGTTCATAATAGTCATGGTAGGTAGTGGCTGAAGATCAGATACATCAACATCTAATCCTATTCCTATTAGCTCATAATGATTAACTGATGGCATGAATATCTTCATTAGTTGTTTCAGCTCTGGTGTCTTTTCTGTAATAATAAAATATTTATGATAGTACATGAACTATAGTTCACTGTACACTCACTTTTACTTGTACTTTTATCAGATGAAACTTCATCAGCAGATGCTCCACAAGGAACCGAATCTGTAGCTGGTGGTTCTAAATTAATGAGAGGTAAATTAAACATCAGTTTTCACTATCATTACTTACTAAACCAGCAGGACTGACGTGATCCTATTTCCCTTGCTTTACTGCAGTCACCATTAGTGCATGTTATACTAGTTCCAGCTTTGTTACAACGGCATACACCAGCTGTACAGGCTTGGCAAAGAGTTCCCTCCAATGTATTGCTACTGTAAGAAAACTTGCTGGAGACAGACTGTATGGATCCATGGACTAGGACTCTTAGCTTTGGACATACATCCTGTACTGGACCAGCAGGTCCATCACAATGTATCTCCAACCACTCGATAGTATCCACCAGTAGAACGTTAACTCCTAAATCTGTTGATTGTAGCTTGATGGCATTACGATAAGGTACCTGTCTCTTTAACATCTTAAATTCTTCCTTCAAGAGACTGACCACCAGTGCTGGGTACATTCCCTGTGGTATAACATTTTCTTCCCAACTCAGAACCAAAGGGTCACAGCTTTCACTAAACTGCCTCCTCATCTTTTCCAAGACATCAACTGCACATGTTTCCAGTACACAGGGAATGAA